AAAATTTCAAATTCACTGTAATTTCCTTGGCTTAAAAAGTTGGTCATGTGTCATGAGAAGAATGCACTAACTCCGATGAGAAACCATAAAACTATTTAAATTATTACCTTTTGGGCCAGATAAAATGTTAATGAAGGCCAGATTTGGCCCGCAGCCCTTCAGTTTAACATGTGAAGAAAAAAATGGTATCAAGTGAACAAACATTTATTTTCTGGTTCTGATGCTGCTGGACATCATGACAATAAAGAAAACTTTACGGAGTCAACCACCAAGCATCTTTGAATCATTAGTTCAGTCAGTCAGAGGATTTTTATCAGACATTTTCACACAGTTTGTACATCATTAACATGTTTTATAAAATTTACATTGTACGATTAATTTATTTGTTTATTCACTTATTTTCAATCTTCTCTTTCATAAGTTGTTTATTGGCCTAATCCGTAAAGAATCCATCATCTTGTGACGGCCCTTGATGATGTGAGAGAATACACATGTGGAGCCGTCAGCAGAAACCTCCTCAGGGATGGAAACCATTCAGATACTTATTGGGAGGCAGCGTTAGCATCGGACCTGTAGCTCCAAGTCAAGCATGTGCTGATGTTTATCATTAAAACATACAAAAAAAAAATCACAGCTCTCTGTGGAAAAACACACCTCTAATATTCAGCTTTAGTTGTATAGATGACAAAAAGTCAGGAGGCAGAACTGCAAAGGGCAAAAATAAAAATGCTTGTGTTCTCCTAGGAACTCACTTCTGCAAGACTGAGCAATCAAGTCAGTAACTGTTCAGTCTTGCTCAAGTGAACATAAATATTGGTTAAAAAATAAGGAGTGGAATAAGGTTAGAATAAGTCAAAATAAGGAATGTGTGAGAAACTCTGAGGTGTCACAAATATACTTTTGGTGTTTTAAAAATAAAAAAAGGTGAGTTTTTGTCCGTGTGTACCGATTTGAACATGTCCAGAGAGGGGACAGCAGAAGAACGTTGAGTGGGATGGAGGAGGATGAACCATATGGAACATTTAAATCAATCAAAACTTTATCTATATAAGACTTTACACACCACAAGGCAAAGTGCACAGCAGAATAAAAATACAATTAGACTCCTGAGCTCCTGAACTGAAGGAGCAATGAAACGCTGCACTGCTGAGCTGATTTAAAACCTGCTTTTGTAAACTTTTTAACGAAGCTACCCTCGAGTGAAAAGAAACCAAACCAGTTTTTTTGACAAGCCACATCTTTTGAGCGTTATTTCAGATACTGGTGTTGTCAAACTCAGTCTTTTCACAGCTAAAATAAATGAATAAATTTCATTGTCTTTTGCCATGAAAGCTGTGGTGAAAAGAAAAATAAAAGCCTGGCAATCATCTAATCGCCTCTGTGTGTGTGTGGCCATAAAGAAGGGGTCTGTGTGACAGCACGGTGCTAAACCCTGAACGTCAGGACGGCCCAGTCGTAACACCCGCGCTCATAAACACTTACAGCTTGTGGCAGAAAAGTGTGACTTTCCTTGGCTGGGTGTCGAAACATTTACACACCATCATTACGAGCTCAGAGACACATAAGAGCTGAGGTCAATTATTAACGTTACAAAGATGGCACCCACACTGATGTAGGTGCGTAATGGGACACATGGGCTGAACTCTTTACCTGGAGAACGGGTCAACAAATCAGGAGTTGATTCCTCAATGGTCAAATGTTGAGGATGAAAAAATATAACAAGTAATTTATTTATTCATTATAAACTCAGATGTGTTTTGATGTAACATCTGCATATAGCCTAGCTAATACAACAGAAAAACCAAACAGGACACCCTGATAAATGTGTGAAAATTTTGTTTTAAACATCAAAAAAATGAAGTAAAATGAGAAAATCGTAAAATAAGTTATTGTTTAATTATCAAGATCTACTATAAAAATGAAAATTTCTGTCTTAATTTATGTTACATAAACATGCAAACATGAAAATACTGAACATTTAACAGATTGAGGCGCTGCGCTTCTGCATTACCCAGGTGGAAGAAAAAGTAGTTCCTACCAGCTACATTTGATTTAGACAATGTTTTAGTAGTTTGCTTACTTTTTACTGTGTTCCTGTTAATTATTACCTGAGATGACTAATGCATCAACGTACCAATATGTTGTGTATCTGTGATATAATTACCAGTTATCGTGCTATTTTTCTGTTCCCCTCAGTAGTTTTTCCTCATGCCTCCTTTAGTTTAGTTAATTTAGTTTTTTTTTTCGGCCATCTCAGCATCTTGATTTTCGTTTTAACCTTCTTCATGTCAGCCTGCATTCCCTGGTTCTATATCAATAAAAGTTTTCACCTTGTACACAAGGTGATATTAATTTTGACAATAATTGGAAAATATACATTTAAATATTTCAGTTTGTAAGACCAATTCATTTAACCAAATTTCCATTTTCTTTACCAGCCAAGGCTGGTATGTAGTCATTCTGCCAGAGGCTAGGTAACCACTGGACTGTTCACGTGTCCATCACAGGGACACATAGAGACAAATTAGACAACCAACTATTCATGTTCCATCTTTTAACTGAATTTAGCTTCTGAAAACAGATTAGTCCAGGACTAATTGTAGCATCAGTCACACTTTTTAACCTGCTTGTGCTTCAACATTACACATTTTGTTTAAACTAAACATAAGTCAGTGAAGTGACACCACAGTGAACAACTATTTCAGTTTTTCTCTCTCTTGACAGGTAAAGTATGTTAGGGTTTTATGAAAAACATTATCACTAAAAGATATCCCTAAAATCTGATAACTTCTTAACTTTGTGGACACAAGTTATGAAGTTTATACCTAGAAGTTCATTATTAAAAGGTCATGTACTGTATTTTCTACAGATACAAAAACAATACAAAAAAAACTATATTCAAAAGGGGGATATTCTGTAAAATCAACATTTTTTGGCCTTTTTATCATGTTATAATGTCATTCTTTCACCAAAAACATACAGAGAATTCTTTGACCATGTCACAGATATGGATTTTTCTGAGTAAGGGGTCATCAAGGGGCCAAAATATTCATAGAGGGGCAAAGTATTTGTTCAGCATCCTTGCACATAAATCACTGTTTTTTGGTATGGCGTATATATTTTACTGGTCACACATTTAAACACTTGTAATGCAATTTAAAACAGCTTGCACAGTAAATTATCCTTATATATTTCACATGAGTTTTTACAGTACATAGATAAAATACTCTCAAACAGAATGTGAGAGAATCCAGCCATCATTTGTGAGTTAAAATACTTTTCTGCGGAATTGTTCAAATTTTAGAAAAAGACTTCTGCCACCTTGATTCACGATTCTATTGGTCTCATTAGTGCCTCTAGTGTTTGGACATAGAAATGCACCCAGCCTCATCACTCTTCGGGCAATGGACAGTTGAGTGACAGGACAGGGGCACTTCAGGGGGCCAATCAAATTTCAGCAGGGGCCAATGCCCCTGTGGTCCCGCCCCTGGAACAGCCCCTGGCTTTGACTCATTCATGCATGTTTGAGAAATCCTTGAATCTCCTGTGGTAGCAATGTGGAGCTGCCTAAACCCAAGTTGGCACAAAGCACCGCCTATTTGTATGTAGCCCCTCCTCCTTGGAGCTCAATCTGCAGCAGAGCACCCCTTCCCTGAAGCATTGTTGTGAAGACGTGCTGAAGTGGGAGTGTCAGCAACAGAAGAGATTCTTAATGAAACAGAGGCCAATTTCAAGGCGTTTGGATCAATAAACAGCATTTTCAGAAAAACTGAAGGTAACATAGTTACTTGATTGGGGTATAGATGTGAACTATGTGCCTGAAAAATACAAAATATTCTGTTCAAATAAGTTACAGGATGTAACCTTTAAGAAATTTGGCTCAATATGTAGGATGTTACCCATTTTGTCACAGAACTGGCAAATTTTTAATTTTGAACCTGGCTAAAGTGCAACAGGGAGTGATAACAAAGGGGAAGTCTTTGGTGACCAGAGAGTATCCAGTTTTGAATTTGTCAATTACAATTACAATTGAATTTGTTGAATTAATCAAATTCGAAACTAGATACTGCATAGTGGCAACATAATGACCCCCAAACGCACAAATGCAGCAGGACTCAGAGGTCTCAATTCCTAATAAATGTCATGCTACCAGGTACATCCCAAAATTGTAG